TAATCCTTGCATTGGATATAGCGCGCCTCATCACGTCTTCTAGACGTCTCAAAGAGCTTCATGTGACATATTCCCAGTCTGTTTCCCACTCAGCCCTTTGTAGCCTGGCAGATTCAACTCAGAGCAATACAATGCAATACATTTGTATAGCACCTTTCACGTCGGGAGGATTGAAGTCCTTTCAAGGCGCTGGATTGGAACCTGAACTCATCCCTGCCTGTGCGATTCAGTAAGTCACTAAATAAAGTCACTCTGCCTCAGGGGCAGAGCACAGAACAACAACTGCACGCACGAACCAGACGTGTAGATTCAGAGCATTCAGCCCTCGGCTTTGACATAAAGGCTGTGACATACGGAGGGAGTTGGCCTCAAAGCAGCTTAAGCCTGGGATGAGCCACACTCTCGCTGTCCTCCACTAAGATTAATAACAAGGGTACGGAGAGAGAGTAATGAGGCACCTTAATCACCCGGCTCTCACATCGCTCTCTCTCGCTGCCGACCCAGTTAATTGATCTGTATCGCGCCGAGCTATTTCAGGACTGCAGGGCTCACGTCAGAGGCATGGTTCTTCGGATGAGCTCCCCCTTTCTGTACCTGTCCTGACGTGAAAGGCACTATATAAATGTAATTTTTTGTTGTCGTTATTCAATATCCCACAGTGGAAAAGAGAAGGGAGTTTCTCTCTGGTGGTGTCCTTGCCCGACAATTCCTCTCCCCCACCCCGATAAACTCAGTCGCTCACTTCATAGCTGTTTGTGGGACCTTGCTGCAAGCAAAACAGCATACACAGTCACTACACCAGAACGATTTGCCCGTGGAGCGCTGTGAAACGTTCCGACACTCTGTCCAATGAGCAGGATTATTACCCGTGCCCCTGCCAAGGAAGCTGACAGCATCGGAGGTTTAGAAGTTCTGCTGGTGAACGAACAGCAGAGTGAAACGAGTTAACTAGGGCCCAATTTCCTTTGGCTCTGAGATGCCCTTCCTTGTGCCTCGCGCTCCTGTGTGATAGGCATGTCTGCTTGAAAGGAAATTGGCATGTCAGATGTAAGGGTCACGCATCACCCAAAGCCTCCCCCTTGTCTACATCAAACCCACTCGAGCTCTAGCCTCTGTTCCTAGTAACACGTAGGGAGGAGTGCTGCAATGGGAGCATAGCATTCTCTGACCTTGCCCTGACTGCCTAACGTGACATGTTGGCAGGCTGCCTCCCAGGTACAGGGCACGGTGACTCACTGCATCACTTTGGTTGTACTGAGATTTTTTTTGATTTTTTTTGGCTCTTGTTAACGTCGAACTAGGCAATCAGCGTCTGCCCACAGGCGCCTGTGACTTTGCTGTAGCAGAACTTCGAGGACGAAGTGGCTTCACTCCAAACAAAGGGCAGTCACAGCTTTCTGCCATCCGGAGAGAGAGAGAGAGAGCACAGAGACCCATCTGATCTTACACAGGAGATAAATGGAATAGTCAGCCAGGTGATGGGGCACATATCAACCATGATCTAATAGAACGGTGGAACAGGCTCGAGGGGCTGAATGGCCTACTCCTGTTCCTAATGGAGTTAGACCAGAGAGCTCCAGTGGTGGAGAGAGAGCACCAGCACGAACACAATGGGCCCATTAGCCTGGCTCTGTCCTGTCCTGCCTACATAACAACAGTCAGTGCACTTCAAAGCAGTGATGTGAGCCCATATCCCCACTCTCAGAGGGCAGTTCTGTGGCAATGAGTTCAGTTAAAGAGACAAAAAATGACAGGAGTATGGATTAGGCCATAAACAGCCTATAACTATTTATGTCCCATTATTAGGCACCACATCTGTGAATTTTATGGTAATTGTCACACTGTACTTGCCAGCCAGGGAGTGCCTGGTGATTTAGTGCAGTATTCGGATATCCTATTCAGGTTATCAGCGTGTAATCATTGAGAGGGTAGTAAAAGTATAATTAATTGACATTTTGCTCCTGGAGAGGTCAATTCCCTTGTTCTCAGCCCCGCTGTTCTCGGCTGCTCCTCCTGCCGTTCGGCTAAAAGTGAGTGTGTGACCTTGGGCGGCTGTGTTAGTTATGGCTGTGTTAATTAAAGGAGACACACGGGGAGTCGCTCACTGGCTGCTTCCCTCTGTGACCCGAGCTGAAACTCCGCAGGTTTCTCGAAGACAAGAGAATAAAGCCTCGATCCCTCCCTTGCCTCCCTCAACGTCCGTCTCAAGACTCTCCTCTTCGCTCGAACCTTCAGTCACTCTCCTACCTCTACCTTCCACTGCCCTCCGCCCCTGATCCCAACCCCCCTGCTCGGGTCAAAATCTCTGACTGTCCAGCGCCTTGGGACGTCCTCCTGACGTGAAAGGCGCTGACAAATGTAATTTGTTGTTGTTGTAAAGAGACGGTCTCACTCAGAGCGAGGGGGTGGGGTGAGGGAGTCACTTACCTTTCGTCTTAAAGCACTCCAGGCAAAATGGTCATCCACCCCTGCAGAGTGACAGAGGAAGGTGTCACTTTAAGTGAAAGGAACTATAACTTGAGTTTGAAACTGCAGACAATTTTATCAGGGTGTAATTTATAATAATACTTGCATTTGATTCGGGGCAGCTGCTGTTTTGCCTGATAATGGCCGACATCATATTGATCTGAGAACCGATTCACTTAAAGAACCCAATAGGTGCACAGTTGGCTGCCGCATTTCTCCTGCAAAACATACAGTCACTCCACTTTACAATATATTCTGTGAAGCGTTTGAGACGTCTTGAAGACGTGATAAGGCGCTGTATCAAATGCAAGTGTTATTATTATTATTAATCTCGTTCACGGAGGCTGGTCCCTGCCATATAAGGGAGCGTCTCAGGCCACATAGATAGTACAAAGGAGGATGATCCTCAATGTTAGAGGGATGAGCTACAGAAACTGACCAGTTAGGCAAAGCTCTTCAGTCTTCAAAGGGTTATCTCTGAGGAGAAAGACCTTTTACAGGTATATAAAATGCAAAGTGAAATTGAGAAGCGAACTCACAGCTCTTGACAGCAATTATCTGTGATTGTATTTGTAGACTTGTACAGCAGTAAATTTGCCCCCAGCAATGTCCTACAAACAGCCATGAGGTGAAAAACCAATTAATTCTGGGGCATTGTCAGCCAACGCCGCGGGATTTTTAACATCCGCCTAAACAGGACGTAGACTCCTGGGAAGCTCTAATGTCTCATCCAAAGCACGGACTTTATATGATACAGCTTTTTCTCTTGGGATGAATGTTGTGCAGCTTCACCACAACAATTGGGATCGATAATCCCTTGTTACTTTGCTGATGGGAGTGGAGTGTGAAGTGAATTGACTTTGAAACGCAGCAGCCAATTGAGCACAGCAGTGTCCCAATAACAGTCATGGATTGAGTGACCACATTTTTTGGGGGAAAGGATTATTATCTCCCAAAAGCGATCCGCCAATCGACTAACAACTGGGTTCTTACTTACTGTTAGGTAAACAGGCAGCTGGAGTAAGGAAACTTGCTTGATGTTTCGCCCTGCCCGGTAATCGAATTTGAGTCCTCGCTTGCAAGGCAAGCGCACTAACCACTACACTACGGGACTCCCCAAAGGGGTTTTGGGAGAGAGTTCCAGAGCGCGGAGCTACTGATACAAGGACAGAGGGCAACATATCAGAGTGAGGGAGCTGATGGAGAACACATCCAATAAGATAATAATAATAACAATAATAATCCTTGCATTTGATACAGCGCCTTATCATGTCTTGCAGCCATCTCAAGGTGCTTCACAGAGTATAATGTAAAGTGAATTGACTGCATATTGTGTGGTCGAAACGATGAAACACCAAGGAGCAATTAAAGAGGACTTAATGCAGTTTTGTTTTGAGAAAGTCAGGTTTGTCATAGCCAGCACATGACTGACGGTCTCATTGTTTGAATCAGAAGTCATTCCCCTCCTCCCCACCCTCTCTCCATCGCGTGTAGAAGCAGAACCCCCTGTGACAGCTACTTTCAAAAGACAATGACGTAATGGGGTATAAATAGAACGCTTGTGAGCAGCTGCCGGGAGCGAGGCGAGACGCCAGCCAGTCAGCGAGGTCACATTGGCAATGCGTGGTGAATGATCTGCACCATTTCCTGACCCCCCCCACCACGTCCCTTTAAAGGCACCGTAATGAATAGTCGATATCACTGATTACCCACTCAAAATTTAATTAAGCCATCCAGTTATTACATTAGCACTTATAGTGGTAAATGGTTTTTCACTGCATCTTAACTCGCGAGCTTGCACTGTTGACAGCGAAGGATTATGGTGCGAGCCGTTATCAGTGGTACGAGATGTCTATGTGTGTGTAGGTATAAATACACGCGCGTACGTGTTTTCACACGCATATCACAACACTACTGTCTGTCGCAGTGAGAACGCAACTCGTGAGACTTGGATCCACAGCCATCTGAGCCGAGCCCAGCACAAGCAATTGAGGATCTTATGCTACGAGTCATAATTAATGCAGCAAATTCAGTTTGCAAATAATAATAATCCTTACGTTTCACATAGAGCCTTATCACATAGTTAAGACATCACAAAGCCATTACAGAATATACTGTAAAGTGAATTGACTGTATTTTTCGGGCAAAATTCGTAGTCAATTATGCACGGCAGTGTCCCGCAAACAGTCGTAGATTGAGTCAGCACATATTTTTCTTTTTGCGGGAGGGATTATTAGCTCAGGAGAGTGATCCGCCAATCGACTCACAACCGGGTTCCTACTTACTGCTGGTTAAACAGAGGTGTGTGGAGTAAGGAAACTTGCCTAAGGTTTCGCCTTGGCTGGGAATCGAACCCGGGTCCTCTCGTTTGCGAGGCGATCACGCTAACCACTTCACTACGGGACTCCATATAAGAAACCCAACATACAAACACACACATATATAATATATCTATATATAAAAAAACATCATCGCTCCCCTCTAGCCTGAGTACAAAGGTCCTTGTGAATGCTGACACTATCCCTGTTCTGCAGGTAGTCCTGACACTTTATCCGAGGTTTTCCAGACACTGCAGAGCAAGGTCAAGGTGGAGGCAGGCTGTGCTGCTTTTCAGGATATCGCGTTGGCCCGTCCGCCTCCCAACTACAGGCCCTTCATGATCTCCGACGAGCAGGAGAAGGTAATTAACAAAGAATAACCTCAAAATGTTTCACAGTAACACACACATCTCTGTTAACTTGCAGTAAGTAAGTTAGTCGATTGGCGGATCACTTTCCAGGGTAATAATCCCTCCAAAAAAATAATAATAATTTGGCCACTCAATCCATGACTGTGTGTGGGACGCTGCTGTACTCAATGGACTGCCGCGTTTCGCCCACAAAACACACAGTCACTACTCTTTCAGTATATCCTGTAAAGCTCTTTGTGACGTCTCAATGACGTGATAAGGCACTATATCAAATGCAAGGCTTATTATTATTATAGTGTAGTGACTGTATATTGTTTAAGTAAACCCAGCAGCAAGTTTGTGCCCAGAAAATTTGTGCTTGGACAGACTGAAATCAAGTCCCAACGTGGAGCTCGAATCCACAACCTGTTGAATCAGAAGCAAAATGACTATGCTGGGCTGACACACACTGAGCCGGGCTGACACTGGATTTTAAAGTTAAGCGATGAGACTGCGGCTTAGGAGAAGGGCAGAGGAGAGAATGATGCCATGTGAGTTGTTCTTTGAGTCACACATGATGACTGGCTCTGTTTTCTTCTCTCTCCCAGATGCAGAAAGTGTCCAAGAAGCCGATTAGTCGAACGATAATCGAGAAAGCAGCAGCCTTGCAAGACAAGACTGGTGAAAACAGGTGTGTGTGCGCACAGCTCAGCACAGCACAAAGGCCTCTGTGTAGACGCTAACACAATGGCCCGGGCCGAGCACAGGCAGGAGCCAGTTGTTAGCTGACAGAGAAACATTTTCCTCCTGTTCTTCAGCTGAGCTCCCTGCGATAGGAAGCCAGCCTCCGAGGAAGCTTAGAGTGAACAGAGAGAGAGAGAGAGAATGTGGTTCCCGAGTGCAAACTGCACCTTTCCCAGAGCCGGATGGCCAGGTTGGCTCCCAGTAGCGAGGTCTGAGATCTGACACACAATTAAGAGCATCATCGGTTCCAGGCAGTACCGGAACTAGTCTCTATCATTCTCCTACGAAACACACAGTCGCTTCCCTCTACGCTGACTCCCAGGAAACGCTCTGAGACGTCCTCCCCCACATAGATCAAGCTGAGAATGAAGCATTCACTCCCCTCCCTCTCACCCCTCCACGCTGGACTTGGGTTCAACTGAATGATCTGCAGACTTCACAAAAACTGCCATCTCAGCTGCTCAGACCAGCCAGACACGCCACTGGCTGCTGCTGCCATTTCCCTCCCACGCAAAGTTCAGGCGCAAAGCCTGCTCTGCTTCCGAGTGTGGCACTGGATTCCAAGCTGGGAAGGAAGCGTGTTGTGACAACAACAGACTTAGCGCCTTGCAGCAATGTGTCATAACATGAGCTGGCAGAGCAAGGGTGACACATCAACTGTAACCGGCGCAAAGCTGGGTGGGGGGAGAGCACAGCCAGAGAGCCAGGGTAAATTCTGAAACGCTTCCAGACACCGCGATGTTTATAGGCTCTGTATCAAACAAGAGGATTAATAATAATAATAATCCTTGCATTTGATATAGGGCTGTATCACGTCATTGAGACGTCTCAAAGCGCTTTGCAGAATATACTGTAAAGTGTAGTGACTGCATTTTGTGGGCAAAACGTGGCAGCCTATTGCGCAAGCCAATTATTAGCCTTATCCGAGGCGCAGGGGGGGGTTAACGACGAGGGCTATGCAGTTGGCCTAAGCATCCCCCAGGCTAGTGAGGGGCAGGAGTAAAAGTGTGGACGTCCAAACCCCCCACACCCCCCATATCTGACCATGCAGAGAACTTTGTTCTTGTTCAGTACTTGACCGTACCACTAGGGGGAGCATGTCACTGTGGCCGAAGCCTCCAATCGGGGTGTGGGTGGGGGTCAGACCCTGTCTGGTCAGCATAGTACTGCCTCTCACTCAGACCCTGTCTGGTCAGCGCAGTATTGCCCCTCACTCAGACCCTGTCTGGTCAGCGCAGTATTGCCCCTCACTCAGACCCTGTCTGGTCAGCGCAGTATTGCCCCTCACTCAGACCCTGTCTGGTCAGCGCAGTATTGCCCCTCACTCAGGCCCTGTCTGGTCAGCGCAGTATTGCCCCTCACTGTAAGAGAGGTGGGAGCGGTGTAAAAGCACCTCACTCAATGCCTCCTAAATCCAGAAGAAGATCCTGGAGAATTTTTTTCATAACCAGAATAAAAATAAGAGGAAACACAAAGTGTTTCTCGGGGTTTGAGCTGAACGTTAGAGGTTGTCTGCCCGCCCGTCTGTCTGCCTGTCTCTGTCTGTCTGCCCGACTGTCTGCCCGTCTGTCTGTCTCTGTCTGTCTGCTTGTCTGCCTGTCTCAGCATGCAGTCTATTCGCTCGTGGTAAATAATAAAACAAAGCAGGTGTAAAGGCCTGAACAGAGACCAGCTGGGCTGGCGGATGTGATTTGGTTGCTGTGGGCTTAAATGTTAAATCCCTGCTGCTCGGGCTGAATATTTGCCTCCTGACGCAATGCTGGGCTCAGAATGTGGCACAGACCGGGGAGCGGATGCTGCCGCTGAGGTAATGGCTCCGCCAGCTGTTTTAACCTCTTCTCGCCTTGCGAGGGGGCTCGCCTTTGCCGCATCTCAGGTTTAACCAACGTTGGGTCGCGCACGAGAGCGATCAGAAATTTGCGTCGTTCCGTAACGTCAGCAACACGCCCAGCGTTCACCGTCAAATGGCCATCGTTCATTTAGGCGGATGCGTTCTACGTACAGCAAAGTCCCACAAACAGCTGCACGGGGAGATAATAATACAGTAATAATAATCCTCGCATTTGATATAGCGCCTTATCACGTGGTGGAGACGTCTCAAAGCATTTCGCAAGACGTACTGTGAAGTCGAGTGACTGTGTATTTTGTGGGAGAAAACCCGGCAGCGAATAGCGCACAGCAGCGTCCCGCATAGAGTGGTTTTGGGAAGCAAGTTGGGGACACGTCAGAGGGGGACGATGGTGAGAAGAGATTTGCAACGTGCAAACCTTGATTGAAGACTCGAGTTTCAATCCAGCGCCCGTCTGTGGCATTGCCGCTGAGATCTTTCGTCCCAATTGTTGTGCACAAACCGCCCCCGGCGCACGACACTCAGCGCTGTGGCCTCAGGGGATCATCAGAAGCTTGTAACTGTGGCCTGGCTGGTGCCCCAGGTAGTTAAGCACAAAGCAATCCGGAAACCAGCCTGCGATTACCCGGCCACACTCGCACGCACATCATCCCCTCCTATTCTCAAGGTGAGCAGTGCCGGGCCACCTGTGCTCACATTTAAAGGAGGAGTTCACCTGTCCTCCCACTTAAAGGGGCAGTGCGCCTTGTTCTTACGTTCAAAGGAGCAACGTGCCTTCTCTGTGTCGGCAACGGGGGAGGCTCTGATGCTGTAAATTGCCTCCCCCCCCTCCCGGGAATAAGGCTTTGTCGACCGCATTGCCATTGCTTTAGACTCTTCACGTTTCAGATGTGCCCAGGATTTTAGCAAAACTCTCAACTTTATAGAACTTTTAATAAAAACTGTTATTGCTATTGTTGTTGACGTTGGCTCGGCTTCCTCTGTGTTCCAGGATGAATCTAAGGAAGAAACTGGGAGACAAAATGAAGAAGACGGTGAACAATGTGGCCCCTCAGATCGTGAGGCCGGGTAAGAAATGTCAGCGGCCTCGCTCAACGTGTCACTGATCAGAGGAGAGGATGTCCCGGGTCTTACAATCAGTGTGGAGGAGAAGAGAGGGGAGGGGAAAGGCGAGTTAAGAGATGAGAGGGGAGAGGAGAGGATGATCCCCAGTGTTATGGAACATAAGAACATAAGAAATGTTAGACGAAAAAAAGACCAAGGTCCATCGAGTTCGCCTTCCACCTTCCTGGCGGTCGCGTGAATAGAGAACGAGCTGTGAGCAACACTAAGGTAAGGGAGCCTTGAAAAGGCAAATCTGACTTGATAGAGATTTTAACCAGGATTGAGAAAGGAAACCACAGAATAATACTCTCAGATACTGTGTGGCGGGGGGAGGGAGGGAGGGGGAGAGAGAGAGAGAGAGAGAGAGAAAGGAAAAAAACGGGAGAACTGACTTGAGGTTCGAGGAAGATGCTTTGTGATTTCAGGTGAATACATCATCATGGTGAAGGACATCAGCAGCCCGCCATTCCTAGGCCGCAAACTGCAACCAGGTTTCTGCATCCTGATGGTCATGCCACGCTTCCAAGAGGACAACCCGGAGTCCCACAAGACAACGATGAAATTCAGCAGTAAACACCGCGGTAACTGAGTGGGGTGGGGGGGATGGCGAGAACAGGGGTGGGGGTCAGCAAGCCGGGACGGTCTAGAAAGAAACACTCAACGATTACGCCCCCCTCCACCCACCGCCCGCACCCCAGAGATGAGTCCTCTGGTGTAAAAGAACGTCAAAATAAATTAATTAATATAAAGAGTAGTGGAAATCTGGAAATCTCTCTCTTTCCTTCCCTCAAAAGGCTGTGGATTGTGGCTGGATCCATTCACATTTTCAAGACTGAATCATAGAATTATACAGCACAGAAGGAGGCCATTCGGCCCATCGTGTCTGTTCCAGCACTTTGAAAAGAGCTATCCAAATCAATCCCATTCCCACGCACTCTCCCCATAGCCCTGCAAACTTTTCCTCCCCAAATAATTATCTATCAGATGTTAGACCAGGGTATCAAGGAATATGGGACAAAAGCGGGTAATTGGAGTTGAGGTACAGATCAGCCGAGATCTAATAGAATGGTAGAACAGGCTCGAGGGGCATAATGGCCTACATGTATTCCTTTGTTCCTATGATGTCTACTCTTCCCCCATGCACACCCCCACCCACCCCACCCCTCAGCCATTCTTTGTACCTGGGTCCAAGGGTCTGTTCTGGGGGTGGGAGGTGGGGCGGGGGGGGGGGGGTCGAGCTGACCAGCACTTCTCTCAGTCTGCTGTTTTCTGAGATAACGTGGAAAAAAGAATGCTTCAGATAAAGCCACGTGTTCGGAGTACACTTTCACTTCCCTAAAGTCACGAGGATCCAAATTGGTTCTCAGCACCTGGCAGCACGTGAGTATTTCCTGTCTTGCTGAGACTGTAGCCTCTCTCCCCTGCCCCTCCACGCTCCCACCCCTATCCTCCGCCTCACCCCCACCTCCCCCTCACCCCCAGCGGGTTTCGATGAGCTGCTCTGGCTGAGGTCACGGGTTCAGTGTATCAGATTCAGTTTCGCTCTGGGTCCATTTGCGTTAATTCATGAGGGAAATCACAGTTTTGTCACACGTCATCACATTTAAAACTTCTCTAAAGAGCTCCACGGGTCAAATGTAGTGTGTGTGCATATATCCATGCACATGTCTGCGTGTGTGTTAATGTGTGTGTGTGTGTTGTGTGCATGTATGAATGTGTGTGTTATAATAATAAATAATAATCCTTGCATTTGATATAGCGCCTTATCACGTCTTCGATGAAAAGTGAATTGACTGTATATTTGTGGGCGAAAAGCAGCAGGCGATTGCGCACAGCAGGGTCCCAAAAACAGCTGTGGATTGAAGTGACCAATTTATTTAATTAGTTGTCTTGAGGGATTATAATTAGGCGTGTAGAGTAATGAAACTTGCCCAAGGCTTCGCCCTACCAGGAATTGAACCCCAGTCTCTCACTTGTGAGGCGAGTGCTCTAAACACTGAGCTGCAGGACTCCACAGGAGTGTGTGCGTGCATATTTGAGTATGTGTATTAACGTGTGCGTAGGTAAACACTGCAGGCATTTTGTGGCAGGGGCAAGGCCTCCCCCCCCCCCAACCCACACACACATACTCATGCACACGTACACACACACACACGTGGCCACGAGCGAGGTTGATGAGCGGTTAATAGGGAGGATTGCAGACTGGGACACAGGGATTGTCTTAACAATCTGGGTTTGTGTGTGTGCGCAGGGACCCGAGGCAGAGTTAGCAGAATCAAGTCAGCCGGCCTGGCCCTTGCGCACGCGCGCGTGCGTGTGGGAGGGGGTGTGGGGAGGGGGTGTGTGGTTGGAGGGCTATGTGTGGCGTGAGTGTAGGGGCAGGGGGCACTCTGTGCGTTCAATGGACTCTATATTTGCAGACAGCAGAGGGCAGTACATTTTCGCAAGAGCCACTCTTTTTCTATCAAACAAATCAACCCAAATTTCCACTTCTCCCCCTCCGCAAAACTAACAGCAGAGAGAGAGAGAGAGAGAGAACGTGCACAGTCCTGTCTTTGTAGCTGAATAACCTCCCTCTCCCCCCTACCCGCCCCCCCCCCCCCCCCCCAGCGCAAAGCAGAAAGTCAGCCTCAGCCTCATTGCGTGGCTGCAATTGTTAAAGGCTTTGCCAGCTGGGACTCGTATTTTCCCGCAGATGCGAGCTGGATTTGTGATTTGTCCCTTCAGCACAGTGAGCGCACTGTTAATGGGCTAACATTCGCAATAATCTGCGGTGTGGGTTTGGCCACTGGCCAGATCCTCACTGTCAGCCAGAGCTTGTTCTATCCAGGCAGAGCAGGGAGGCGAGGGGAGGCATGAGCATTACGCACGCACACACACACACACACAGACACACACACAGACACACACGTGCATAAATACATACACAGACACGCGCTCGCGCATACACACAGATACGCACACAGGTACACACACACGCACAGGTACACACACATGCGGACACACATATGTACACAGATACAACCACACGCACACTTGAACAGATACGTGCCCCGTACACACAGGCACATATGCACACTCACAAAGACACACATGGAAATACCAGGCACATACCACAAACAGGCGCACACACACACGTCCACAGCCATCATCTCTCACAGAGAAGCTCCAACAGGACTCTCCCTCTCGTCCCTGGAGGCTTGTCAGTCTGGCAACTTTAGCTGTTAATCTGTGTATGGTTGGGGGGGGGGGGGCTGTTTTCAATTTTCTGTTTGCCTATGAACACAGTCACCATCGCACAAGTCTCTCCCTTACACCTCCCCCCCCCCCCCACCACCTCCTTACCCCCACCACAGGCTCGGCTTGGCAGTGTTTAGTGCATTAAGATGCCCTCTCAATGTGAAGGGCCCTATGCCTTTCACATCGAGGACACGTTGAACCACACTTTCTGTCCAGTGTGCTTTTGTCTCAATGGAGGGAGATGTTGAGTAGGGTTGTGGGAGGGGTTGGAATGGAGGGGTGGGGGAGGGGGTTATGGACATTTCCCAGTTCTGGTTACAGTAACGCTGTCTGTCCTCGTTTTTTTCTTCCTCAACATCTGGGCAGATTCTTCACTTGTTACCAAATGCTTCCTGTATCGGGGGAGTCCGGGGGAAGGGGAGGAGAGAGAGAGAGCACTGCTCAGGGAGAGATCGCTACTTTTCATTCCGTTTTTTGGGGGGGATAATGACAAAAACATCTCGTTCTCAGCGAGCGAGTGAGCGGGCAGGGAGGAAGGGGGTTGGAGCGGTGGGAAGGGGTTGGAGGGGAGAGAGGAGCCGTGTCCGGTCTCTCAGAGGAAGCCGAGCCTTTGAACTCTCTTATCCTGGGGCCTGATCGCTCCCGCCATGTTCCACGTGGACCAGACCAGGCTCGTCCCTCGTGTGCATCTCGGGAGTCTGATCGGGTTTAGGGAATGAGGTTTATTGCTGGGACGTCTCTCGCCTCGCGCTTCCAGATCTGCTCAATTGCTCAGGCTCTCTGTGTCCTTGTCTGTCCCGCCAGCCATCAGTGACCACGCCTGCAGCACTCAGTCACTGATCTCAGCCTCCGTCCTTGTTTTGTGCTGACTCACTGATCTCACTGAGGGACAATCTCCCTGTCACCGCCCCAGCTGGCATCTTTTTTTTAATTGCAAACAAGAAAACAGCCGTGTGCAGAGCTCTTTAACGTACAGCTCCCCAAATCATCCTCTTGAGCTGCGGCAGCTTCTCACCCATGTTAGTCTGACTTTCCTCCCTCCGTCCTTCACCTCTTCCCTCAATCCCACCCTCTCTCCTTCACTCCCTTACTCGCTCTCCCTCTCCATCCCTCACCTTCACTTCCCCCATTCTCCCAGTTCACTCTCTCCTCTCGTGCACAGCAAAGCACAGAATTTGTGATGGTTTTAATAGGGATTTAGACTAATATGGTCAAAGGAACAACATAAAAGAGTGTGTGTGTGGGGGCGTGAGGGATAGAGAGAGAGCAGACAAGGGGAATGGAAGTTAACGGAAAGCTCTTGCATTGAGCCGGTGCTGGCACAATGGATCGAAAGGCCTCTTTCTGTGCTGTAAAACTCCACAACTATAATAAAACCTCTTGCTCTGATTTTCTCCTCTGCTCCTTGCTGCTGTTCCACAGCGAGCTCATCTCCTCCCTCCCTGTCTCTTTCTCTCTCTCGCTCTCTCCTTCTCTCGCTTGTTTGGTGGGTTTATTTCACACTGTGCTTCTGCTTTGGATTAGAGACATCACATGGGACTGAAACAATAACCAGCTTTCTTGTACTTGGCTACGCTGCACGGGCTTGAGTCAAATGGGAACTGTGAGTTCCACAGGACTGGAAAAGGCAATTGTTCAGCTCACGGAACCCCAAAGGCTGACCTACATAGATTTCCTTCTCACTGGGGCCGTTAAACAGCTCTCGGTTCACCCAATTTCACCCAAAACACGAGCAGCAAAAGACCTGTGCACACAGCGAGGCTCTGCGTGTAGAGAGCTCGGCCCTGTGGACCTCATCCTTCCAGAATACCCGCCCACATAATACACAGTCACTCCCATTTTACAGTATATCCTGTAAAGTGCTTTGAGACGTCTCAACGACGTGATAAAGTGCTATATCAAATGCAAGGATTATTATTATATTATTATTGATACGTAACCTCACCATCTCCTCGTCGCTCTTAAATACATCACAGTTTAGATTTCCTGCCTTTCACGTTGGGCAGGCGTCTCAAAGGGCCAGGTCTGGGCACTCGAGTTGAGGGGCAGGAGTGGGAACTGAGGGGTTTGGGGCGGGGGAGGAGAACGATGACCTAAAGCGTGGTCAAATAATCCAGTCCTGACCTCAACCGCCTTATCTGGTTAGCTCCAAGCTGTCACTGTGTAAAGAAATATTTCTTGGTGTCTGCCCTCAACTTAGCTCTTATCATCCTGACTCTGTGCCATTCCTTCCTGTGAACACCCAGTTAGTTACTCTCGGGAGATTGTCGCCCAGGACACCGGGCGAGAGAAATTCTTTTTTAATCGTTTCGAGACCTTCAATGTCCGGCTGAGCAGGCAAAGGGATGGGACCTGGGTTTAATCAGCTCACGTCTCATCTGAAGAACGGCACCTCAAACAGTGCAACGTTCTTCCCCCACTACTTCCCCCTCCCTCCCCCCAGTACTGTGCTGGAGCACCAGCCAGGTCGACAACCTTGAACCCCAGAGGCGTGCGTGCGAGGGAGGTGGTTG